ATCCATTGCAATGGCAAAAAACTGACGAAGCTAGGGTCTAACCTGTCACAGGCTTCAGAGTAGTCTTCGCCAAACTCTCTAACCTACATGGGACTAGACTTTTGGGTTGGGCTAGAAGCCCCCCAATGGACCCCACTAGACGAGACCTACAAGAGATACTTTGAGCATCAAAAGCAAAGTTGGTGTAGCAGCAAACAATGACGAGCGAAGTTTCGTAGCATTTGGCCTTCAAAAAAGACATGGTTCGGTACGAGGAGGTCTTGACAAAGGCCTCATGCTCCAAAACCACAGATAGTCTCTTGAGGTGCAGACTCTACAAAGATCCCTCAAACTTTCCAAATGATTGCACTTCTCGATTCTCTCAAAGCACAACATTCGACGGGGCATGCTGTTGGAAGGCCTAGCAAGTAGTGGAAATTCGGATAGCCTTAGAACAGCTCTAGAACCTACGAAGATCTTCATGAATCTCTTAAGAGTGTCCTACCAAGTTTCGTTGCATTCCAACATGTCTAATGCAGTGTAGACTGAGAAACAGTTCTGACAGAATCGGCTTCTAGCACCCTGAAATGGACCCCTATAACTAGAGCTACATTTTCAGCATCTCAAATTGTTGTGGGACCACCACCATTGGATCCGACATGGTTGAAAGCCCCCAGGGGTCAAGTTTCAGCTCAAACCGACATTCCAAGAAGGCGTTATAGGCGAAAGAGTGAAACAGGAGAAGCCGCACTCTGCAACACTACACCATTGAATGGATAGTCACGGCTAGTGATTTTCGACAGTCATATCTCACTCATCCTGAGTCGGATCGCGCTCAAATTTGGTGAGCATGTTTGTTTAGTCAAGACGGCTGATTCGACATATGGCAAGTCCCGTGACAATACCTGAGCGCGAAGAAAAGCTAGAGAGAAAAAAAGTGCAGAAAATTCAGCAGCATCGTGTCTCGTTCAAGTGGCCAAATCACACCGCTCGCGAGGCCGATCGATGTGAGACCAATTCCATTGCGGGTGTAAGATCTCTGGCCATCTTTGATCTGAACCCTATACATGATTAACGGTCGGATTCTATACACGAAGACAACGAATATACTACAAATTATGTCGTCAAAACCCTTGATTCTGGCCAAAAATCGAAACTTGCAAAATCTTCGTTCGGTCAAGGAATCGAGCTGCGTTTGGTGCCCCGTGATCGTAGTGGCATGCTTAGTGTGATTCAGCAAAGAAAACACAGAAAAACATCAAGGAATGAACACATTATTGATCCAAAGTTTCAAGATCTACTCAAATTTCAAGTCGCATGATCATGCACCAAAAACACGATCCATGGCTCGAAGTTGGTATCAAATCAATCGTCATATCGAGCCTTACAAGAAAACAATCATCTTACAATCAACTAGGCATCAGAACTACCCCGGATCAGTCATGCAAGTTCACACAAGTCTTAGGGAATCACAGGGACTGTTCTGGAATTCTACAAGTTGTTAGGAAGGGGCAAATCTACCACTTTGCACCTTATTTTCTAATTTATTTTAATTCAATTGAATCTTTATTTCCAACAATTAGGGTTACTTTTGAGCATACACCCATGTTTGGGGCATACTTCTATATATACGTACCATCATTGTACACAAAAAAAAAGAAGAGGTAGAGGCATACACACACAAGAGAGTTTTCACTTAATACAAGTTTATCTTTCTTACCATTGTGTGTCATATTTGAGAGAGAGAGAGGTGAGAGAAACGCTTTTGACCAATACCCCTAGGGGTTGAGGTAAACCTTTTCTCTCTTCTTTTTCTTTTCTTCTTCTCTCTCTCTTCTCCCCTCTCTGCTTCCTCTTCTTCGTCTGAGTTCCTTGCAGAGGTCGTGTACGGTAGTGGCAGTGTTGTGCATGCCTCTCCCTTGGTCCCACAGGTTGTGCATAGCGATGGCAGTGCCATGCGCAAAGTCCCCCTCCCCTTCTATTCATCTGTCTCTTTCTTTCAGTGAAATCTGTAGACGGCGTTGCCTATCGCCACCCACATACATAGCTGTGACTTCTTAGCGAAGCTTGTTTTCAGTTGTAGGGGTCTTCCTCTACTGCACGTCTAACTCTGACGGCGATACCTATCGCCGCCCACTAGAGGCTCTGGCGACACCCATAGCCTTCCGCGAGCTTCCTCTAGGCGACCGGCGCCCATTGCCGTTCGCCCTACGTCCCGTGCCTATCGTTGTGCGACCCAGGAGAAGCTAGTGCCATGTGCCTCGTCAGGAGCTGGCGCCACCCACAAGGGATACGTCGTCTCCTTGCACTGCCCACCACGATGCCTATTGACGTCCGGGCTTCCCCTCGTTCTCTCCTCTTTACCTCTTTCTCCTCTCACTTGATTGAGGGTAAACCTAGCCTATCACCGACGCACTGACCTTGGTTTCGAGTAGTATCATAGCCGTGCTGGTCCTGAGAACCATGCCCATCTTGCTACCACTCCGAGCCGATAACTTCTGGTTGTCATGCTAGTCTCATCCCTACATCAAGCTCTCTTCTCTTTTCTATCTTTCACCGAACCTTGCACTTCATCGCCTTCTCATGTGAACGTGCATTGCCCTAAGACAAGGGTGGGTCCCTTCGACCCCCACTTGTCTTACAAATTAATCATAGAAGTGTTGTGCAGAAAAACAAGAGAATTACAGGTCAAGGGAGGCGATTCCGATTCAACTCAAGCAGCTGGGGGGCCTTCTTCATGATCTAAGAGGGTGCCCATGTGAGCCAACCCGAGTAAGTCCCGAACCCACCTAAAATTTCTCTTATTGGTTGGTATACCTACCATTGCCCTCGAGCAAGGTTCCGAGAGAGCGATCTCAAATCCCGGGTTCACCAGAAACCCGAGACACGTGCAGCAAGATCACCTAGATCCGGAGAGCGAAATCGAGACACTTAACCAGTCTTATGTCACAAATATTTAATTTAGATAAGTAGTATTTGTCTTCATGGTATACCTAAATTGTTAACCTCTAATTATGATACTAGATTCCTGAGTCATTTTTAGAGAACACTGTGGTCAAAGTTAGGTACAACTCTACAATTCATTCGTGTATATTATCCTCACACTGATGGGCAAACTGAGCTAGTCAGCTACAGTTTGGAAACTTGTTGAGTTGTCTTACAGGCAAGAGGCTGAACAGTGGAATCTTGGTCTTCGTTGAGAAGAGTTTGCTTATAATAACTCAGTTAACAGATCGGCTAGGAAGACTCCTTTCAAGATAGCGTATGGTTGCTCCATTCCACATATGTTAGACCATCTTTCATTACCTCATATGGGGAAGAGTGCCAAACCTTATGGCTATGCCCAATACATCGTAGTAGTAGAGAAGGAAGACCTGTGATAAGTCTTTGAAAGAAAATTATGCCAAGTATAAGGAAGATGTAAATGAACATCGACACGACAAATCATTTTCTGTAGGGGACCCTGTCATGGTACATCTGAGCCATGAAGGGTTTCCATTCGATAACTACCACAAGTTACGTTAGTACATCTGAGCCATGCAAGGTTTCCATTCGATACCTACCACAAGTTACGTTAGTGAAGGTTTGGATCATACCAGATACTCGAGAAGTTTGTTAATTTTCGTCTCTTAGACTTTATTAAGGACCTGCACATTTCACCCATCTATAATATTCCAATCTCATACGAGTTTCAAGGAGAACCACCACCGGTACATTTGGATGCTGGTTTGCTAGAGACTATAGAACCACCGAGACCTATTTAGGATGAGATAGAGGATGTGGTGGATGTATGGACCATTGATATACATTGTGGTCCATATAGAAAAAACTTAGTTAATTGGAAAGATCCCCTGTTGACTGATTGTTGGTGGATTGATGAGTATGAGTTACAAAGGCGACGGAAGGACCTTTATCAAAATTACTTGGAGGTGTACTCGATCGGATCAACTTCTTTCCAATCCAGGAAAAATTGATGAGGGCATCATGACCTTACAATTTACTTTAATTTTATTAAAGGTTTTTTATTTATTTTCATTGGCTTTTTTTAAAGTGAAAACCAAGCTTTTTGGACTTCTAATTACGTCACTTATGTGGGGAGTACTTATGTCTTTAGGGTGTGAAGACAATTCGGGGGAAGTTTGATCATTTAATTATTTTATTTTAGTTACGAGTATTTTAAGTCTGAAGATATAAGGAAAGAGTGCGACATCTAGCCCATAAAATGTTATTTGGATAATTTATTTTTTGAATAAAAAAAACCCTTGCAAGAGTTTCTTCAAATCTTGATTTAAGCCAAAGTGAAGGCATAGCTCCTCCCAAGGTGCCCTTCGATTTTCCCTTCTCTTTTCCCTTAATTGTTTTTTTGCCCTTTCTAAGTTTCCTTCTATTCTTTTTCCTCCCTTTCCCCTTTCTTCTTCATTCCTCCATTTCTTTTTCCTCTTGCATACTTTTCTATTTTTTCTATCATTCATTTTCTCTCTTCTTTCCTTCCGTTCTTATTTTTTTTTCCCCTCCTGCCCTTTTTCCCTTTTTTGTCTTTTCTTTCTTTTTCCTTATTCCCTATTTATTTCCCTAATTTTACATTTAAAAATCAAACCCTAACTTTCCCATACCCATTAACTTCCAAAATCCTAGATTTAGTTATGAAACCTTCTGAATCCAATTTAAAATTTTTCTAGACCCCTCTTCTTTCGTAGCTGTGGACTAGTTCTAAATTTGATCACAATCAGTTTTTAGTTTTTTTGGTTTGTGGGTTTTGTTTAAGGATAGAGTTCAATCTGTTACAGATTTGAAATCTCATCAACTAGATACTAAAACAAATTCTAAAGTTTTGCATTGATTTTGCAAGTTTGTTTACTCAATTTTGTGTATAAAAATTCGCTGAACTTGTAGTTAATCAGCCTTAATTTAATTTAAAGTGTTTCTAAAACAAGTTTTAGACGATTGTAATCAAAGATTAGTGAGTGACTGATTTACGTTACATCAAGACAACTAAATGGCACAAAATTTCTTTCCAAACATATATAAGAATTGTTCCCTTTCTCCAAGGAAAGCCGATACACATCTTGGATCAATGGAGAAAATCTCCTGATGATGAATCTCATCTCAAATACTTCAAATAAATACACATGTTCCGTAGCCGATGAATGCCCCCTATTCCCTTGTTACACTATTCTTTAAATGCCGTATTGCTCTCCATAGAAGTAACCTTGTGGACATCCTCTGTGGTTTTCTATAAGTTTCTCACATTTATCACCATCACCATTACTCATTTAGGCTGCCCCAGAAGGGATGGCCTGTAGAAAGCATGGCTCTGAGCAATCTCAATGCGATCCCTGGGGTCATTCATAGTCTCATCCCTCAATGCTTGGAGGATCCCCTCAGTTGAAATCTCCCTGTGCAAGCATTTCAAAGGACGACAAGTGCTAGTTATTAACAAATCAAAGCATTCCCAAAATGTTTATCATGTCTGCAGTGAATGCAGGCCTAATGCCCACATGCACACGCATACGTGCAAAATAGGAGAGGCACAACTAGCTGTTCGAAACTCGAGTACATAAGGGCAATTAGCATATTGCATAATAACTTGAATGTGCATGCAATGCAAATGCAGCACACATGAAAAGTTGAGTTGGAAAAAGAAATGACCTCAAAGAGTAATCTTGGGTTAACTGAAGATTTCCTAAATGGAAGGATCGGTTGATCGTTTCCAAAATATGCAATGGGGAAAAACATAATCACCATGCCAATTCTACTGCAGATAAGTATTAGACTAGGAAGGTTGTATTTCCGAGAGTACTCATTTCTATTGAGTGAAATTTCCGATATTCTTCAATCCATGGATAAAATAACGAATGTCTTTTATTTTTAATTCTAAAAACTCTTAATAGTTAAAAGCACTGGTTTGGCCTCTAGAACTGGAAGCTTGATTATAGAGAACAAAACTTAACATGAGTACTCTGTTTCACACTATCAGCCTTTTCCATAACTAGGTGCTAAGGATCAAAATCAGTGAAAAAAAATTCACTATCAGCACCATATTAGACTTTCAAATAACAAACCAAACAAACAGCATAATTTGCTCCATTTCTTTTTGCTAAGGGATAATGTAACTAATTTAGATGAATCCACAATCATGCCATAGTGTAATGCAGTCAGACCCAACGGCTGAGTACTCAAAACACATCATCTTTCAGCATATGACAATAGATAAATACCTTGAGATCAGTATTTTGTAGAGCGTCTTCAGGATTGGGCACAGCTCAACTGGAGCAACAGGTGTTTTTCCTTCGGGATGTAAAACACTCAGGCAAGACTGGCTGAGAAGCTCATAAAAAGCTCCAACGGCTGACACCCCCTGAAAAATACAACAGAGACTATGCATAAACCTGTAATGTTGCATATAAGAATTGAAGCATAAGTAGTCCAAAACAATGCCTAAACCTCTTCTTTCAAAAAAATGTGTATGTACAGTGATGTCTAGCTGTGCAGTTAGATGTTGAATACAAATATATGAAATTAATTGGAAGTAACCAACTCCGAGAGAAAAAATTATCTAGATCTAAATGCCATCTACTACTACGTATATGAATCTAGAAGCTTCTCATAGAACCCAACTCCCAGATAGAAACAAGTTTGTATGTTATATGATGAACAAATGGATAACAATACCCATCCATTTTTGTTACTGAGAATGCAGATGCATTGATGTGTGGTGGTGGTGGTGGTACACATGCATGTATGTTTGCAGTTAAACCAGACCTGAATCATCCCCTTTCCTTTAATGCTGTCGCCCATGTCTGGCCTTAATTCCCCTTTTGCTAGCATCTGACCATACCATGCATTTCGACCTTTCAACAGTGTGACATAGGTATCAGCAAGCAAAGGTCCAGCAAGCTTTTCTGGTTCCTCAGCCAACAGATGTGTTATAAAAATCATCTCAGATGTACAGTGTGCAAAATATACTGATTTGCTCGTGGCACTCTCATTGGTTAAAGCTGCAACCATACCTAAAAAATGCATAACAAAAGGCACTCCGACTCAGAATCAGAAGTTCACCAATTTTCAAGTTAGTAGGAAATAATTTTCCCCAATGGAGCATACCACTTTCCAAGCAATATAAGTTCCACAAGTTATAGACAATTGGGAAAAGATACAAGTTTGTACCAAATTAATGTTTCCTTATCTATGTATTTAGTGGAGTCCACCTCTGGTGCCTAGGCAATGCCATGAGAGGGCACTGGGGCCTACTATGCCTCATCCAGCCCTAGGCGTCATGCTCTGGCAGGGTGCCTAGGCACTTGGGGAGCCAGTCGCCTGAATCCAGGCACCCTCCTTGAGTACTCCCTAATTGTGGGTGGAAAATGTCCTGAGGTAGGGGGTCCCTTTGTCATTTTTCCTGCTATTTGATGGGGTCAAATGTACTTTTAGAGTACCTATTCCCTCCCAATACTAAATCTAAAATAAGATCGAAAACAAAAAATGAAAAGGAAATTTTTTGAGATTTGGCAAAACTTTGTCATTGGCGAATCCAATCCGAAAGAGTTTTTATGGATTAAATTTTAATTGGAAGATCAAGAAGCACCGGAGAAGATTAATCTTGAGATATGCACAAGATAAGCTAAGTACATACTAATATTATAAGAGGCATTACTAATACATGTTTAAACACATGCACACACACACGCACATGTGGGCACCCAACTCAGGACCTGGATGATCAGTCTCCATCAACCAAATAGCATTAGGTTTTTGACCTTAAATATAACCAATTGCAATATGCAATATGATACAAACGCTCTGACATTTTTGTGCAATTAAGAAACTTTGCCTCCTAAAAACTCATAATACTAAAAAGGAATTATGAATTCTAAAATAATTCATCATCATCATCATCATCATCATAGCCTTTTCCTAATTATCTGGGGTTGGCTATACGAATCCTGATCTGTCAGTCTGCTTTATTAAATGCCATACCTTTAGTGAGGCCATAAGTCCCCATATCTTTTTTGACTACTTCCAACTACGTCTGCTCTTTTCAATCCTCCCACTTGAACTAACTCGCACCTCCTAATAGGTGTTGAAACTCTAAAATAATTCACGAAGTCAAATTTGAATTTTTGTTCAATGTGCAGAACATTGTTTTATAGAAATTAAAAAACTAATTTGTAACTTGGTGTTTCTGCCCCTCAATACCAAGTTTGAAAATACCAAAAAAAATTACCAAGTTTGAAAATATCTATATTTTTTGAAATTTACCTTTGTTTATAATAGGCAACATTCTAATATAAGCTATACAGCATCCTAATAAAAGCCATAGTCACTTTCTGCGCCACAAAAGAGTTATCAATTTCAATATTTCTTCCATGTTACTGCCATGCGAATAGATGCATGACCTAAAAAATATTGGTTCTCCCAAATAGGAAAAGTATGTCTAATGCAAAATTCATTTGCAACGGAAGAATACCTTTTAATAAATTATGCACGCCGTGCATAATTTATTTGCAATGGAAGGAAAAGTATGTCCAATGCATAATTCACTTGCAACGGAAGAATACTTCTAATGAATCATGTGTGTTCATGCATACGGGTGCATATATCTATGTATCATACATATATGGGTTGGCATAATCGATTAATTCTTATTATTAATTTCCTCAGAATTAAAGCTAATTAGAACCATACCTGCGCCAATAGCATAGACATTCTTCAGACCACCCATAACTTCATGTGTAATGAGGTCACTATTATCCCAAACAATGAAATGGGGTTGTCTTAAAAATTTTGCTAGTGGTTTCCTCCACTTGTCAGCTCCACAAATTCGAGCATTAGCATACTCCTTGTTATATATCTCAGAAGCAATATTTGGCCCTCCAAGATAAAGTATATTTTCCATAGGAACTCCAGCTGCAAAAGTTAATTAATCTAAGAAACAACCAACAATACAAGTCAAGCAAATTTAATAGTATCAAAAAGAAAGTAAAGGTAGTGGAGGAAACATCACATCTAAATGGTAGACAACATAGTAAGGTCCCAAATGTGGATTCAATACATCATTTTCATGCTTCAGCCTTGACTGACCACAGAATTTAGTAATAAAAGAACAAACAATAACAATTAAGATTGTTGCTTGCTTCACTAGGATGAACCATGTACTTTTATCACTCTTTTGGCTTTGACCCCTCTTCCCCTCAACCACACCACAAACCTGACCCCCAAAAACCCTTTGTACAGAAGTCTGGCGATATATTGCAGTGAAATCATGGCTCACAATGATGACATCCTAATCTCAACGATGCCCAACCAGAACATATCCATCTCCATTATCTACCCCTCACCGGCAATCCAAGAGCTAGCTTACCCAAAAACGAAAAGGTCCGAAAGCTATAATCAAGTGGTAGCCTAGACACGCTATTCATAATCAAAATGTTCACTAAAGCTACAATCAACAAAACTATAACCCATAGTCCATAACCTAGAGGTATCCCCACTACTACCACCCAAAATAACCACCTCCCAAACTGAAGGTGAGGCCCAAATTACTGCAATTGATTTTTCTTTTCAGTTGTTCACTGCCACTGTACCATCAGGTCAAAGTTCTAACTTGACCTCCAGTGCATGATCCACGTGCTTCTATCCGGCACGTTACCAACTTGCAATCCTTGCCCAATGTTTGCAATAATGACTTTAACCTATACATTTAACCTAGTGACAGAATGCACGTGGTGTAGAACAGATCTTGGCAAGGGCTTATAGATAATACATTATTCCATCTTAATCAACTTTTCTATTCTTGATGTCACCCAGCAGATGTGTCATAGTACTCAGCAATCTTTCTTTCTTCCATTTGATAATTTTTACCCACCAATCTTGCTCGAGAGAGGAACAATGCTAACTCTCAAGCTCAACGATCATCCCCAAAAGTCTTTGCAGCTGCCACCTGGTAGGCAAACCACTAGAACATGCTACCCTGAATCTAGAGGCGTGCCATTAAGCAAATATCCATCTCCACTAAGTGAGCCAACTATAGATCAGGAAAGTCTCATTTCCCAAACTCTAGCCAAACTATCACATTTTGACTGAAGGCCATCCCAAATGGATCACACTGTAAAGTACTTTGATTAGATCAAGGACCACATAAAGCTGCCAAGATTTACAGTGAGCATGGGCAAGTTTCACCAATCTCATCATTAAAACCATGATAGCTATCAAGTATTCACCAAAGTCAAATGCCATTCCTCTGATTCTTTTAGAACCAAAACTCATCTTTTCAACAAATGGGCATGGGCCTCCACATATAGTTACTTAGCCCTTGGTCTTTTCCACCCACCCCCCCACCACCACATTAATGGTTTTAGCTACAGAAACCCTTTAGATAGACCTTACAATTCCAACTCCACAAGATGAATATTTGCATCCGAATCCAAACTATGAACATATTCCACAAGATGAATGTTTGCATCCAAATCCAAAATATGAACATATTCCTTTCTCTCCCCCAAAATATTCCCCGCAAAACATAAGCAATAGCAATTTGCAATGTAGAACAGTTTTTTAGTAGCCAGAAGAATATGCACCTCTCGTACAGAATGGTTGATTGCAACCTAGCGGTTATTGGGGTGTACAAGAGAAGCAGGCTTCACCAAGAATGCTAATCAGTGAGTCATGCTGTGCACCTAAAATGAGTTTCTGGCATATGTTGGCTCTGAGACGCCAAAATGTTCATGTACACGAGTCCTCTTATATTACAGGAATACATTTATCAGAAGTCACAAGATCATAAAGGTGTTTAGAAATTTGGATTGCTCTATAGTTTAAAAATTTTCAAGAACCCGGAGAAGTGTAACCAATTACAAACCTGAGAGAGATGCGGTCACACTGGTTATCTTATGAAAAGATCTCCAAACTGAGAAAAGATTAAAATAAACTTGCATTGCAGTGGGACCAATGATTGGGTACCTTGAAACGTTTAAGGCTTTTCCAGTGTATGTAATCCTATGATTAGTGAAATGCTGCCCATAAAAGTAAGCCATACCTGAATTCTTCAGATAATCATTTAAGAAATTTGAAGTAGAACGGTTCAACACTGATGACTTTTGAACATCTAGAGATCCATTTATTTATTAGGCAACTAGCTGAATCTACGAAGGCCCTTACTGTAATGTTTTGAAAGATGACTCTCCTAATGCAGTTGGGGATTCATTTAATGAATGGAGCCAGATCCCTGTTTTGTACATGTTTATGCTTAAATAACAAATCTATATCGGTCACACCAACAAAAATCAACCCAAGTTTTCAGAGCAATAAAACAGTTTAATGATTCACCAGCTCCGCCAAGCCAAAAGGAAGGAAACAAACAACTTATGGTCTGAGTCATTTCAATAAAGTCCAGTTGAGGTATTACATACTCTCTCGAAAGATCTAGATCCATACAAGTTCAGCATATTCATCAAAATAAAAGACCCAGCATTAGATAGTAGACCCCATGAAACTGACAACAAGAAAAGAATTGCTAGAATCACTTAAAAAGGAAAAGGATAAAAGGGGAGAAAGGGACCTTACTTGCACGATTTATCATCTGAGTAGGAGTGATTATGTGAGGAACAGGCTCGAGCGCAGCCTCAATACCCTTGGACAACGAGATTATAATGGGAGGTGTGAGCCTCTCCTTCCAATACCTACTAATCTCCTGAAACACCTCCCTTGTCTCAGTAGATGGAAGCCCATTAACCACAATATCAGCATCCCAAACAGCTTCTTGCAAGTTTGTCACAACTTTGAGAGGACAGAGAGGCGTATCAATCATATTTAGACAAAACCCATCTTTCAAAATCTCATCAGCATAGAGAGTTCGATCACCCAACCTCGCCTCAACATACTTAAGGTACGCGCATCGTCTTATAAGCCTTCTTAGTACATCTTCTCTTGAATTGATCACCTCGAATAAGTGCTCAGCTGTTGCTCTATCAACCGATCGCCCGGCCCTCCTCCAAATCCTGACCTGAATTTTGTCTCGAAGGTGGCCATAAGCATCTTGCATGAGAGCTGCGAAGACGCTGCCCCAAGCCCCTGCTCCAACGCCTACGATTCTAAGGACGTCGCCCTCTGATTTACCCAATAGGAGACGGAGCTCATCAAGCTTCTCCTCGACGCCATTCAAATGGGGAATGCCACCATTGGAATGAATTGAGTTGGGACTGGACTCTTTGCTGCTCACCATATCTCTCTCTAGGTGTGTGTTCAAGACAGGCAAATTTTGGAAGCCTTCTCTTTATCTCTCAACCCAATTTTCTTTTACGTTGCAACCCAGAGCCAATTCTCCTTTATCTCTTAACACACAGCGAATTCTTCAACCCTCTCTCTCTCTCTCTCTGCGTGTTTGGGTTGATCACCGACCCGAATATGAAAATCGTAGCAAAATCAAAGATCTGGGTTTCGTCCCTAGGAAGGTACTTGAAGAAACCCAGAAAGCGCTTGAGGCGAATCTCGTCTGTCACCAATTCTAAACCAAATTTTGTTGTGGGGTTCACTTGCAGGAGATAAATCAAATAACAGATATGTACCATGCGTATAAATAATAAGTTTTATTGAGTGCAAGTAACCAAAACAAGAAGGAAAAAACACTTTGTGATTACCGTTGGGGATTTGGCCATCCACCCATTACTGCCCAGACGGAGTCCCCGAGGAATTTCACTCTCTCTAGGAATTTGACTCTCTCTCTTCAATGGAGGTCGAAACCCTAAGGTGTTCAGGCCATGAGCATGAGGGCGCAATAAAGTTGCATCGCCGACATTATGGTTGTGAACATGAAGGAAGAGAATGGGTTGTTGGACACTTTCACTTCACCTATTTAACGCTTTCCAGCACCCAGAAAACACGCTTTTCAAGACCCACATCCGTTTCCATTTAGAATGCGATTCTCTCTCTCCTACTGCACGATATTGTTATGAACAGGTCGGGTAATTTATTCATCTTTTACGCTCTCCTCTCTCTCTAGGATTCATAGGAAGACGGGATGGATTTTGAATCCGG